TAAGCAAGAGGTCGATCTATGCTGTTGTCAAGCATGGCATTTTACCTATAACACCGGGTTTGTGTCTGCTCTGTGGCAGAGTAATGACATTGTGCATCATGGCATTGTCCATATTCATTAACATCGTCTCCAGACAAATCAGTTCCTGGAACCTACAGGTCATACTGCACCTGTAGTGTGTACATTCAGTGTGTAAATAACATCCCGTGGAAACTCCGGGCTGGCTGTCTCTCGTCCAGCACATCTAATGATGAACTGTTTTCTTCCAATAGCCTCTCATTTGATATAATGTCAACTTATATATGGTATTTGTAATCATTGTACTTTCCGTAAACAATGGAGGGAATAAAGATCGTTCAATCATTCATGCATTCATAAAGTAGGTTCCACTACATGTTCTCTTGTTCGCTGTACTGTAGGATATAAATTTGGTTCCACTAAATGTTCTCTTGTACTCTGTACTGTAGGATATAAAGAAGGTTCCACTAAATGTTCTCTTGTACTCTGTACTGTAGGATATAAAGTAGGTTCCACTCAATGTTCTCTTGTACTCTGTACTGTAAGATATAAAGTAAATTCCACTACATGTTCTCTTGTACTCTGTACTGTAGGATATATAGTAGGTTCCACTAAATGTTCTCATGTACTCTGTAGGATATAAAGTAGGTTCCACTACATGTTCTCTTTGTACTCTGTACTCTTGTACTCTGTAGGATATAAAGTAGGTTCCACTAAATGTTCTCTTGTACTCTGTACTGTAGGATATAAAGTAAATGTTCCACTACATGTTTCCTCTTGTACTCTGTACTGTAGGATATAAAGTAGGTTCCACTAAATGTTCCTCTCTTGTACTCTGTACTGTAGGATATAAAGTAGGTTCCAGTAGGTTCCACTGTAATGTTCTCTTGTACTCTGTACTGTAGTACGCTATAATAGTAGTAGGTTCCACTAAATGTTCTCTTGTACTCTGTACTGTAGGATATAAAGTAGGTTCCACTACATGTTCTCTTGTACTCTGTACTGTAGGATATAAAGTAGGTTCCACTAAATGTTCTCTTGTACTCTGTACTGTAGGATATAAAGTAGGTTCCACTACATGTTCTCTTGTACTCTGTACTGTAGGATATAAAGTAGGTTCCACTACATGTTCTCTTGTACTCTGTACTGTAGGTTATAAATGTTCTCTCTAGGTTCCACTATATAAATGGTTCCACTAAATGTTCTCTTGTACTCTGTACTGTAGGATATAAAGTAGGTTCCACTGAATGTACTCTCTTGTACTCTGTACTGTAGGATATAAAGTAGGTTCCACTACATGTTCTCTTGTACTCTGTACTGTAGGATATAAAGTAGGTTCCACTACATGTTCTCTTGTACTCTGTACTGTAGGATATAAAGTAGGTTCCACTACATGTTCTCTTGTACTCTGTAGGATATACTGTAGGTTCCACTACATGTCCCTCTTGTACTCTATGTAGGTTCCACTACATGTTCTCTTGTACTGTACTGTAGGATATAAAGTAGGTTCCACTACATGTTCTCTTGTACTGTACTGTAGGATATAAAGTAGGTTCCACTGAATGTTCTCTTGTACCTGTACTGTAGGATATAAAGTAGGTTCCACTACATGTTCTCTTGTACTCTGTACTGTAGGATATAAAGTAGGTTCCACTACATGTTCTCTTGTACTCTGTACTGTAGGATATATAAAGTAGGTTCCACTACATGTTCTCTTGTACTCTGTACTGTAGGATATAAAGTAGGTTCCACTACATGTTCTCTTGTACTCTGTACTGTAGGATATAAAGTAGGTTCCACTCAATGTTCTCTTGTACTCTGTACTGTAGGATATAAAGTAGGTTCCACTACATGTTCTCTTGTACTCTGTACTGTAGGATATAAAGTAGGTTCCACTACATGTTCTCTTGTACTCTGTACTGTAGGATATAAAGTAGGTTCCACTACATGTTCTCTTGTACTCTGTACTGTAGGATATAAAGTAGGTTCCACTCAATGTTCTCTTGTACTCTGTACTGTAGGATATAAAGTAGGTTCCACTACATGTTCTCTTGTACTCTGTACTGTAGGATATAAAGTAGGTTCCACTAAATGTTCTCTTGTACTCTGTACTGTAGGATATAAAGTAGGTTCCACTACATGTTCTCTTGTACTCTGTACTGTAGGATATAAAGTAGGTTCCACTACATGTTCTCTTGTACTCTGTACTGTAGGATATAAAGCAGGTTCCACTGAATATTCTCTTGAATGCTGTACTTCTCACGGTGTACTACTCAACTTCTCACGTTATGGAGGACTAAGGTCGTTATCGGTCTCTTTACCTTGAGACACGTGTGACTCTCTATAACCCTGCTGCTATATTTTACTTGGCCCGTTTATTAGTTGGGGTGAGTAATCAACACCATGAGGGAGTGAATTAGTCATTACTTGATTAGATAAATACGAGGCTTCTACCCCGGCCACGAGCCAGGTCCGGGTCCACATTCCCTGCCAGCAGGACGACACGAAGGCCACCCGGCATTGCGGGGGCACACATAGCTACCGTTACTCAATAACGACGTAACCCGTCAAGTTGTGTATACACATGTTACCTGTCACATAGTGCAGCAGCAGAAGTCAGGTCCAGCAATACACCCATGAACTACGACAACCTGACGTGACTAAACATTCAGCTTGACAGCTTGAAATAGTTCTCTTCCAGATTTAGTCATCGCCTAAATGAAACGTGAAGCGCCGTAAAATATTACATTGCCAAACACGATGCAATTCTTTATATAAAAATTGCGAAGTGCTGCAGACAGTAGATGGAAACAATATTTAATTATTCCCCTAGTTATTTCGTGACATGGGTGTTGATCATATTTTAGTTATTTCGTGACATGGGTGTTGATCATATTTTAGTTATTTCGTGACATGGGTGTTGATCATATTTTAGTTATTTCGTGACATGGGTGTTGATCCTTTTTTACATCTATTCTATTTCAGCAAAGCGAGTTGATCCACGTGCGGAGAAGGTACGTGAAGTTTTCAAACAGTTTCTACATAGCATCTCTGTATAAAACAGGACCATGTGTTCATGGGCGTCACTATGTAGGCCTATACCTGTTGTCAGACCGTCTGGATAAAGTATTGAACAGACGATTTGCCGTGACACAGTACAAATAGACACCAGGTGTTGTAAAAACACAGAGCATGTCGTTACACTGTTGTAGCGGAGTAGAGCAAGTTAACCTTAGTAAAATATTGGTTAAAAGTTATGAGAATGCCTCAGTACAGATATGTTAAAATATGTTATAATATGTTGTGGGTTTATGACAACTCTGGTAAAATGGGTATCTGCCGTAAGAATTCTTTTGTGTTGTAACGTTTTTGGGGTTGTATGGTTGAATGGGGGAGTAGGGAATATAGAATGTTTCTTGTTTGAATTTGTACAAAGGATGAGAGATGTTTTTATTACAGAATGGTATGTCAGTGCAGAGACTTCTTCAAAATTATGTACATTTAGGTATCTGAACCAGAACAATATTTAAATGTTGTAAAGATACAGAAATATAGAAGAGTATTAGCAAGTTTAAGGTGTGGAGTTTCACAATAAGAAATAGAAACCGAGAGGGCTCAGGGTATCATCAGGGAGGAAGATATTGTCAACTTTGTAAAACGGTAAAATAGAAGATGAAATGCACTTATGTTAGAATGTAAATCTCTTAATAATATTAGGCAGCAATGCATACCAGAAACATTTCTAAAACTACCAGTAAGACATAATTTTATATTACTAATGACCTCTAATAATGATGATAATAAATTAAGAATGTAGCCTATTATATATATCATGCAACTGTATTAAGGAAATCTTTATTATGTCAACGTTTATGCGCATCATGTGATTTAATGTGTATGTAAATATTACTGTACAACTTTTGTTATGGCTTCACGGCCGGATACCTTACTTTCACATGGGTAGTACTTGGTATTAGTTGATTGACTTAATACATCCATATTGGCCTATTCTTTCCATGCAAAACAACACCTCTCACATGGGTTTCACATCTGGGTACCCGACTCTCACATGGGTTTCACGACTGGCTACCTAGCACTCACGTGGGTTTCACGGCTAAGTACCCGACTCTCACATGGGTGTCACGACTTGCTACCTGACACTCACATGGGCTTCACATCTGGGTACCCGATTCTCACATGGGTTTCACGACTGGCTACCTGACTCTCACATGGGTTTCACATCTGGGTACCCGACTCTCACATGGGTTTCACGGCTGGGTACCTGACACTCACATGGGTTTCACATCTGGGTACCCTGACTCTCACATGGGTTTCACGGCTGGGTACCTGACACTCACATGGGTTTCACATCTGGGTAGCGTGACTCTCACATGGGTTTCACATCTGGGTACCCGACTCTCACATGGGTTTCACGGCTGGGTACCTGACACTCACATGGGTTTCACGGCTAGACACCCGACTCTCATGTGGGTTTTACAGCTGAGTAGCCGATTCTCATATAGGTTTTATATATACCTCATTCCCACGTGGGTTTTACTGGGTACCTCACTCTCACATTGTGTATTACTGTTTACCTTATTCCCAATTGGGGCGGTGGGGTAGCCTAGTGGTTAAAGCGTTAGCTCGTGACGCCGAAGACCCGGGTTCGATTCCCCACATGGGTACAATGAGTGAAGCCCATTTCTGGTGTCCCCATCGTGATATTGCTGGAAAATTGCTTAAAGCGGCGTAAAACCATACTCATTCACTATTCCCAATTGAGTTTTACTGGGCACCTCACTCTCATATGGAGATGGTGGTTACAAGACTCGCACATGGGTATTACTTGGTATGATTGTGTAGTTGACTTTAACACCCCCAAATTGTCCTATCTTTTCTATGCAAAATAACACCTGATTTGAGTACAATCTCCTTACTTGAGTTCACTTATATATCTGGATGGCTATGGTTGATCAACGCACTGTTTTCTATTGATTATAGTTAGCAGATATAAACAGCAGTAAAGAAAAGAAAGATGTTGACAAGACATCACCGCCTGTCGCAATTGGCTCAAATATCGAGAGAAACAGTCGTGAACCAATGAGAAGCCAGTATGATAGCGAGGCTTCAACTAGGAAGGACAAAGTAAAGTTGCTTGCCACCAGACTGGTGGATGGAGACAGGAACACACTTAAGGTAATTCTCTTTTCTTTAAATCTTAGACAAACTCTTACGTCTTTAGACCTTCAAACGGAGTCAGGATGGACCTTCAGTACAGACCTTCAGACGGTGACAGGAAGGGAGCGTGTACAGACCTTCAGACGGTTACACGAGTACAGACCTTCCGACAGAGAGGAAGGGGTACACGGGTACAGACCTTCAGACGGAGACAGGAAGGGCGTGTTACACGGGTACAGACCTTCAGACGGAGACAGGAAGGGCGTGTTACACGGTACAGACCTTCAGACGGAGACAGGAAGGGCGTGTTACACGGGTACAGACCTTCAGACGGAGACAGGAAGGGAATGTTACACGGGTACAGACCTTCAGACGGAGATAGGAAGGGCGTGTTACACGGGTACAGACCTTCAGACGGAGACAGGAAGGGCGTGTTACACTGGTACAGACCTTAAGACGGATAGGAAGGGCGTGTTACACGGGTACAGACCTTCAGATGGAGACAGGAAGGGCGTGTTACACGGGTACAGACCTTCACATGGAGACAGGAAGGGCATGGACAGGGGACAGACCTTCAGATGGAGACAGGAAGGACGTTTTACACTGGTACAGACCTTCAGACGGAGACAGGAAGGCATGTTACACGGGTACAGACCTTCAGACGGAGACAGGAAGGGCGTGTTACACGGGTACAGACCTTCAGACGAGACAGGAAGGGCGTGTTACAGGTACAGACCTTCAGACGGAGACAGGAAGGGCGTGTTACACGGGTACAGACCTTCAGACGGAGACAGGAAGGGCATGTTACACGGGTTCAGACCTTCAGACGGAGACAGGAAGGGCGTGTTACACGGGTACAGACCTTCAGACGGAGACAGGAAGGGCGTGTCACACGGGTACAGACCTTCAGACGGAGACAGGAAGGGCATGCTACACGGGTTCAGACCTTTAGACATAGACAGGAAGTGTGTGTTACACGGGTACAGACCTTCAGATGGAGACAGGAAGGGCATGTTACACGGTTACAGACCTTCAGATGGAGACAGGAAGGGCGTGTTACACGGGTACAGACCTTCAGACGGAGACAGGAAGGGCGTGTTACACGGGTACAGACCTTCAGATGGAGACAGGAAGGGCATGTTACACTGGTACAGACCTTCACACGGAGACAGGAAGGGCATGGTACAGGGGTACAGACCTTCAGATGGAGACAGGAAGGACGTTTTACACTGGTACAGACCTTCAGACGGAGACAGGAAGGGCGTGTTACACGGGTACAGACCTTCAGACGGAGACAGGAAGGGCGTTTTACACGGGTACAGACCTTCAGACGGAGACAGGAAGGGCGTGTTACACGGGTACAGACCTTCAGACGGAGACAGGAAGGGCGTGTTACACGGGTACAGACCTTCAGACGGAGACAGGAAGGGCGTGTTACACGGGTACAGACCTTCAGACGGAGACAGGAAGGGCGTGTTACACGGGTACAGACCTTCAGACGGAGACAGGAAGGGCGTGTTACACGGGTACAGACCTTCAGACGGAGACAGGAAGGGCGTGTTACACGGGTACAGACCTTCAGACGGAGACAGGAAGGGCGTGTTACACGGGTACAGACCTTCAGACGGAGACAGGAAGGGCGTGTTACACGGGTACAGACCTTCAGACGGAGACAGGAAGGGCGTGTTACACGGGTACAGACCTTCAGACGGAGACAGGAAGGGCGTGTTACACGGGTACAGACCTTCAGATGGAGACAGGAAGGGCGTGTTACACGGGTACAGGCCTTTAGACATAGACAGGAAGGGCGTGTTACACGGGTTCAGAACAGGAAGGATGTGTTACATCGGTACAGATCTTCAGACTGAGACTGGAAGTGTGTGTTACACGGGTACAGACCTTCAGAGAGAGACAGGATGAGTGTGTTACGCGGGTATAGATCTTCAGACGGAGACAGGAAGGGTGTGTTACATCGGTACAGATCTTCAGGCGGAGTCAGGAAGTGCATGTTAAACGGGTACCGACCTTCAGTCAGGGAAGCAGTGTTGCAAACCTTCAAATGTATTGTTGCACTGGTGTGTATCACTGCAATATCACCAGAGACACAAATCCCTGTATATTTATCATTTACTGCTGCTGATGTTGTTACAGATGCTGGAGAACGTTTTGGCACAAGACCGGTCCCAACAGGCAGTGAGAGGACAAGAGGACAAGTTAGGAGATGAAGACGAGGACATTGCAGGAGGTAGGGCGCCCTGGGTTTAAGGGACTAACCATAGGATATTCCAGGAGGGGCTTGGATGCCCACTGGATCCTTGTGAAACAAATAACTATCCTGGCATTTGAGGGGAAAGAGAAGAGAGAAAACAACCAAGACGCTTGATACTTGTAGTTTACATTCTATAGAAGAGCGCAATATACTTTTGCCTCGATATGTGCACAAACAATTTCATGACTTCATTGTTTTAATAGCCGTGAAGATCCGGGTTAGAATTGATCTTCAGTAACCCATGCTTGTCGTAAGAGGCGACTAACAGGATCGGGTGGTCAGACTCGCTGACTTGGTTGACACATGTCATCGTATCCCAATTGCATCGATCGATGCCCATGCTGTTGATCACAGGATTGTCTGGTCCATACACGATTATTTACAAACCGCCGCCATATAACTGGAATACTGCTGAGTGCGGCGTAAAACTAAACTCACTCACTCATTGTTGTACAGATGAGTTAGGCTTCCGCGATGAAGAAGTAGCCGACATCTCAGACACGCGCCACGACGACGGAGACACAGAGACTGACCCGGATGTTGAGAGGGACATCATGCGGTTGTTACAGCGTTACAAACAACGTGCCTCACAACAACAATGTAAGTGGATACTCAAAAAACTGTGTTTATGACACATGGTGTAAAACCTGTAACCGAGTCATGACAGGCAGCCCCTGGAATCTTGTACGGCATAATCGCACATTCCCTTCTCAGAAATGTGACTGAAAACGATGCATTCAGACCTATTTGTGTGATGTTTTATCACCCAGTTTGGCGTGAGATTTATCAGTTTGGCGTGAGATTTATCAGTTTTGTCGTGAGAGCGTGACATGAGTAACAAAGACGTGAGTCTCAAGCCAACGGCGTGAGAACTGTAACTTGATGACACGTTCTGTAACACCTGTAACGCGTTCTCTACTGCAGTGATGCCGAGGTCTCGCTCCCAGCAAGTGATCGAAGAAGGCCATTTCGGGGATTTCCAGCATCAAGGTAATATATCCTCAATTGCCTGTGTGTCACCGTGCTCATATCGTACAACTTTAACTGTGTCTGGTCCTGGCATTGGTACATCACCGCTGTGGGGATTAATATGTCCTAATACGTGTAATATAATAGGTGCTGGGTCACTTCTTTCACACAAACAAACTGGCTTGGTCGTGTCACAATTTAGCTCTCTCCTGCACATATATGAACATGAACATATATACTCATGAAAACGAATATGGGAACACATGAAAGTACAAGCGTTCCTTTATTTATTTCCAGAATTTTACCCACAGTGCAATACGTACCTTGTGAATAAACCTGGTGAAGAATAAAAGAAAACTTGTATTTTCAGGTGTGCCCTTATTCGTTTCCATGAGTACAAACCGAAACATGAGTTTCATTAACCTATTCAGACAATGACCTACTTTTCAGCCGATCCGAATTGTCTCGTGTGAAAGTGAAAATAGACATCACAAACAACTATGGTTACACTGAATTCCAATTCCTTGTTTCATAAGAAAATGGTATTTACAAATGAATTTTAATTTTAATAATATCGTATTTCTATATTTTATGGCGAGGTGTAGGCAGCATGACCTTAACTAAGACGTCACAGACTGCCCCTGTTTGATGAGGTCGTAAAATGATTAACAGTGCATCTGGCTCACTGGTTACACCTGTTATAGGTTTTTTGCGGTTATTCAGTGTAGTTCTGTAACGCACAATGTGATTGATATAATATCAATTCCGTACCAGACCGCCAAACATTTCTTGCGGCAGAGCCTCGTTTTGAGATTTCCACGATTTTCAGGTTTCCGTTTGTCAGAGCTCGCTGTACGACAGAGCACGCTGCACGACGTGCTTGCAAGGATAAGAAGGAGCGTAGTGTTGCAATTTACAAGTGCTTAGATGTATCAAATAATACTGATTAATATTTATTCATCCAGTTAAATGAATTGGTCTCAAAATTCTGGACTGGTTATTGTACTAAGTTGCGCAATAGGACGGAACCCAGTCAACAGGAAACGAGACTGTTGTATAATCAATGTTTTGACTTGATTTCACGATATCCAGTGAACAATTATTACTCGTGTGTTATATTGTTTCCCGGGAAAAAAAATTGTATTTAATTGTTCGGAAATGTTCGGACCATCACTCCTTGAACAACATACTGCGATATCAAAACACATTGCAATAATCAAACAATGTATGCTGATTAAGTACACTGTGATAATAAAAGAACATTGTGATAATCAAGACCATTGTGATAATCAAGACCATTGTGATAATAAAGCACATTGTGATAATCAAGACCATTGTGATAATCAAGAACATTGTGATAATAAAGCACATTGTGATAATCAAGAACATTGTGATAATAAAGAACATTGTGATAATCAAGAACATTGTGATAACAAAGAACATTGTGATAATCAAGAACATTGTGATAATAAAGAACATTGTGATAATCAAACAGATTGTGATAATCAAGCACACTGTGATAATCAAGCATTTTGCAAGAACACTACTATAATCAAGAACACTGTATAATCAAGCTGCGATTATCAGAACACTGACAATCAAGAACGCTGTGATAATTAAAAACGTTATGATAATAAAGCAGATGATGATTATCAGTCACACTGCCCTAATCAAGCGCATATGTTCGTTCATTTACTCATGTGCAGATATTGCAGACACAGCATAACATATCTGCCATACTTTTCCTCACCGCCACATAGCCTGTTTGTCCTCTAATGTTCCAGTGCTGCATGCCGTAGAGGACCGGCTGTTGAAGGACATCCAGATGGCGCTACACAGCGGCTTCACGGTCAAGGAAATCATACAAGATCTGGAATCTCCAGGTTGGTATATCGCGTTCCAGACACAACACAACACAGACATTGTTATCACACACATCAGACTCATTGTTATTACACACACAGCAAATACATGGTTATTACACACAGCGGACACGTGGTTATTACACACACGGCAAATATGCGGTTGTTACACACAGCAAACACGTTGTTATTACACAGACAGCAAACACATGGTTATTACACACAGCAAACACGTGGTTATTCCACACACGGCAAACACGCGGTTATTACACAGACAGCAGACACATGGTTATTACACACACAGCAAACACGTGGTTATTACACACAGCAGACACATTGTTATTACACACAGCAGACACATGGTTATTACACACACGGCAAACACGCGGTTATTACACAGTAGACACATTGTTGTTACACACACAACAGACACATGGTTATTACACACATCAGACACAGTGTTATTACACACATCAGACACATTGTAATTACACACAGCGGACACATTGTTATTGCACACACAGTAGACGCGTTGTTATTACACAGAGCACACACACACATTGTTCTTACACACCTTACATAGAGAACAATGTGTCTGTGATCATTGGAAGTGATGTTGTCGTGATGAATGTAACCTGAAAGTGCGTGATCGAGTGAGTTTAAGCACTTTAATCACAAAATGTCAGCGACGAAACTGATGCTGGTTATAGGCAGGTACCACTTTGGCAAAGCCCGCGATTTTGCGGACGAACCTAGAAACATAGTCCGGATGTTTATGGGATTCGAACCCGCTATCATAAATTTTACCATACCTCCCAGGTCTACTCAGCGAATTGCCCCTGTCTCCATGGAAACCAGCAACTCCTTTGACGTACTGTACGTTGGCGGACTGATTCATGCTGCTTTCACCAAGTGGTCGTCCCTTTGAAACAATGGGTTATTCAAAGGGAATAAGAGTTTCTTTATCCGACACTCATGTCATTTAAATAATACTCTCCTAACAAAAATAACTAGCAAGCAAACAAAGATTGTTTGTGAATCAACGCTAGCTGCTACTCTGAGGCAACGCCAAACTGACACCAGTAGCAGACACCAGTAGCAGAAACATTATATGACGGCGGTCTTTGATTGGCATCATGGCCGCTGATCAACCCATATGGGATACGGCATATCAACTCAGTCAGCGGATCCTTCCCGGTATGACAAGCACTGTTCAAAGGCCTGTTTAGCCCGGATGTCCACAGTGTCACCTTCAACAGGAAGTAGCTTACATCCTGACGAGCTGAGGCTTGGGTCACGTGACCGTCACTGAAGTTACTTCCTGTTTTAGAAGTACATACGAGCCCTGCCTGTAAACGCATGAGTTTTTTTTTTCTTGTTGCATTTGTTTTATTTACTTTTGTTTTCAGATGGAGAGTGGGACGACACCAAAAAACGTGAGATTGAACGAGAGTTGGACACGCTGAAGAGCTTGAGACGAACAGACTAGATATTCACCAACGAGATGAGAACTATGCATTTATTGTCCAGCGTTAGAGATCCACCTCGCCTGCTACTTGTACTCGGCTACACGTGTGCTGTCTGGTGATCTATCATTGTTCAGCTAAAACAAAATAAATCGTCGTGATTGTCATGTCATTACATGCCAGTGATTATATCATTACATCTCAACATAATTACTGTTAATCGACCAAATCCAGCAGAAGTATGTTGCTGTCAAACACAATTGGTTGTTAATGATGTGCCAGTATTGTCAAACATGTGTGTGTGTGTGTTATTATGAATATCAGTATGATCATAGTATGATTGTATGGCCAGCAATCATTCTGTTATGGTTGAAGAATTTATGTTACACAACTGTGCTCAATGTATATGTCACTTTTGATATACTTCATAACAACAACTTACTTTTCAGCTGGGAAATGAAATGTACATTCATCAGAACCTGCTCAGCCATAGAAGCATGTGCGATCGTGTTCCTAATAATTATCATCATTTTTGTTTTTCATAGTTTTACTTGATTGTCCATTATTTATACGAACTGACACAATGTGTATTTTGGTAATGTAAATTACGTTTGTTGTCGATTTCATTTTATTAAAACCAACCTTAGTTTATACAAACTTGACTATATTGTGTTTGTTTGCTGTTTAACGCCACACATATACTGAGGGAAACAAATAAGGGAACACCACTTCATCGTAGTGTTCCTCTATATATTCTCAGATTTTCACCCACAGTGCGATACAAAGCTCGTGAAGAAACCTGGAAAAGTTTAAAAGGAACATATGTGCTATCATGTGTTCCCTTATTTGGCGGTCTTCTATACATAATGGAGTCTGGGCCAGTGATCAACACCATGGGCATCGCAATTGGGATGCGATGACTTGTGTCAACTAAGTCAGCGAGTCTGACAACCCCATCCCGTCAGTCGCCTCTCACGATAAGCTTGGGTTCCTGAAGATCAATTCTAACCCGGATCTTCATGGGTGACGTTTGTATACACTAAAGGTCAAAAGAAACGTTACCCTCCTTCCTTAATGACGGATCCGGAGGTACCTATCTACAGCTGGCGTTGTGATGCGTGGACGTCCTTTTCTTGGCAAATTAGCAGCAAATGTTTTAAAACTGACTGACTGGAAAAACCGACTGAAATCATAGGAGTGATTATTTTACAATTTTACACACTCTACAACAGTTGTTTCTTGTTTTAATAGTTGAAAAATGGTGACTTTAAATGGTTTATCTTTGTCTCAAAGCAGAATATTATTTCGACCTTTCTTTTGGACATCTAAATCACTGTTATTGGTTTATTTCGGCATGGGCGAAAATAGGACAATTTAACTCTTCTGAAAAAGATTCATTTCACCTAAATATGAATGCATTTGAGAATGTATTTTCGTGATTTGCATAAAGCTGTGTTGGTAAGCTTTCTTCTAAACTAATACCTTCTAACATATTTTGATAGTTTTGAAGTAATTCATAAAGGTGGGAGGGTAACGTTTCTTTTGGCGCTTAGTGTATATGTTTCAAGCACGCTGCATTCCAAGTCATTGTGCCTTCGTCTAGTATAAGTCTAATACAGCAAACCACTGACCCTTCATGAATCTACAGGTACAACGGTTTAGGAGCGGTGAAGTAGCCTTGTGGTTAAAGCGTCGCTCGTCACGCCGAACACCTGGGTTCGATTCCTCACATGGGTACAATGTGTGAAGCCCATTTCTGGTGTCCCCCGCCAGGATATTGCTGGAATATTGCTAAATGCGGCGTAAAACTTAACTCACTCTACCAATGGACACTCATTCGGCCTGTTCTTATACCACTGAATCATGTCAAGTAAACTGAAACTTGTAACGCTTTGTAACCTATATACAAGCCAGTGCCACCAGCATCTGTAGGAAGTGGGGTTGGGATCACGATTGTCTGCCATGACCTTTGAGGACGCTCGTCAGGACTCGAATCTAACCTGTCAGGAATATCATTAACGTTGAATATGTTGAATATGCACATTCGGTGGCAGCGCATTATTGAACCAAATGCTTTTATGGGTGAGTATTACGCAGCTCATATCAATATTCCAGGAATTTCGAGCAGTTGACACCAGAAATGGGCGGCCCACTCAATACGCAAGAAGAGTTAGGTTGGTGCAGGTTGTTAGTGCTGGGTTAGTGCAGGTTGTTAGTGCTGGGTTAGTGCAGGTTGTTAGTGCTGGGTTAGTGCAGGCTGTTAGTGCTGAGTTGGTGCTAGGTTAGTGCAGGTTGTTAGTGTTGGGATAGTGCAGGATGTTAGTGCTGAGTTAGTGCAGGTTGTTAGTGCTGGGTTAGTGCAGGTTGTTAGTGTTGGGTTAGTGCAGGTTGTTAGTGCTGAGTTAGTGCAGGTTGTTAGTGTTGGGTTAGTACAGGTTGTTAGTGCTGAGTTAGTGCAGGTTGTTAGCGCTGGGTTAGTGCAGATTGTTAGTGCTGCAGTTAGTGCAGGTTAGTGCAGGTTAGTGCTGAGTTAGTGCAGGTTGTTAGCGCTGGGTTAGTGCAGGTTGTTAGTGCTGAGTTAGTGCAGGTTGTTAGCGCTGGGTTAGTGCAGATTGTTAGTGCTGGGTTAGTGCAGGCTGTTAGTGCTGAGTTAGTGCAGATTGTTAGTGCTGGGTTAGTGCAGGCTGTTAGTGCTGAGTTAGTGCAGGTTGTTAGCGCTGGGTTAGTGCAGATTGTTAGTGCTGAGTTGGTGCTAGGTTAGTGCAGGTTGTTAGTGCTGGGTCAGTGCAGGTTGTTAGTGCTGTTAGTGCATTTAAAGCTGGGTTAGTGCAGGCTGTTAGTGCAGGTTGTTGTTTTGGTGCTGGGTTAGTGCAGGTTGTTGCAGGTGTTGCTGGGTTAGTGCAGGTTGTTAGTGCTGGGCTGCAGGTTAAAGTTCAGTGCAGGTTGTTAGTGCTGGGTTAGTGCAGGTTGTTAGTGCTGGACTAGTGCAGGTTGTTAGTGCTGGTGTTAGTGCAGGGTTGTTGTTAGTAGTTGTTAGTGCTGGACTAGTGCAGGTTGTTAGTGCTGAGATAGTGCAGATTGTTGGGTTGCAGGTTTAGTGCTCGGTTAGTGCAGGTTGTTAGTGCTGGACTGGTGCAGGTTGTTAGTGCTGGGTCAGTGCAGGTTGTTAGTGCTGGGTTAGTGCAGGTTGTTTGTGTTGGGTTAGTGCAGGTTGTTAGTGCTGGGTTAGTGCAGGTTGTTAGTGCTGGGTTAGTGCAGGTTGTTAGTGCTGGGTTAGTGCAGGTTGTTAGTGTTGGGTCAGTGCAGGTTGTTAGTGCTGGGTTAGTGCAGGTTGTTAGTGCTGGGTCAGTGCAGGTTGTTAGTGTTGGGTCAGTGCAGGTTGTTAGTGCTGGGTTAGTACAGGTTGTTAGTGCTGGGTTAGTGCAGGTTGTTAGTGTTGGGTTAGTGCAGGTTGTTAGTCCTGGCTTAGTGCAGGTTGTTAGTGCAGAGTTGGTGCAGGTCGTAAGGGCTGGGTTAGTGAAGATCTTTAGTGACAACTGAGGTTTATTTTAAGGCATGATATTGGTAAATGACTGCTGTGCATATTGGAAAGTTGGTGCGATCTACCCATCGGTTCACACAAAACTTTGATGAAAAAAATGTTGATATCAAATAATTTATATAAAATAATTGTAAGAACTGAATTCAAAATGTTTCACTGGGAAAGGATGCGCACTTTCCACAAGAAAATATCGTCTAACTATTAAGTTTGTCTACCTGGCCCTGTTTCGTCTTCTTGGCAGTCGTGCTGGACCTCTTCCTCCTCCAGCCTGACCTGACTTCCGGGGAAATACGATGTACCAAATCGCCTTATCACAGCTACATTGCATATGTTGCCAATATGTCTGCATTATTTTAACACTGACTTGAAGTCGCTTTCACGCTTGAAGTAAGAATTATACGTACGCATCCTTGTATTTGCATCGCGCTGAACACTGAGACCAGATAAAGCGTGTACTTTGGTTCTGTTGATGGTTGGAGTCTTTTGATGTACATAGCTTCTTGGTGTTGTCCGATTTTGAAGTCTTTGAGGCTGGTTGTTAGGGTTTTGTTTCTGTCCCACCGGATGCTGTGGTCGGGATTGTCTTGGATATGGTCTGATAAGGCTGATTTGGAGTCAAGTTTAAATACTGTGGTCAAATGCTCTTTGTTTCGAGTTTTGAGGCGTCTGGATCTTTCATAACTTCACCTTCTCCACACTTGCATTTAACACTCCAAGAAGCTGTGTACGTCAACCAGTCAACCATCAATCAACCGTGACCAAGGCAATTATTATATACCCCCAGCTTACCATCGACTCATCAAAGACCACTATCAGTCATAATTCCTTCGTTTATACTGCAGGCTTCATATTATGCTTCCAACTAGCTACAGGCATAAAAATAAAGCAAACGACTATATGGATATTTAGTACCTACGAGGGCTAAAGTATCGGGGTTCATATTTTTCATACGATGCCCCAGTGCAAACTATCATTTTGTCATGGTGACGTGACGTCATGAACAATGCTATGACGTCACGTTTCGTCTGTGACGTTGCGTTCTACATGCGGCGACGGCGGGTAGCCAGCCTATGTTTGAAAGTACATTTGGGTTTATTTTCCTCAATTTGACAGGATATTATATTCGTGCCCATATCATACTATGTTGACGACACTCGTGCCTAAATATCGGTATATCCGCGGCCTCGCTCGGCAAATAATATCCATATTTAGGCATTTCGCGTGTCGAGTGCTTGAAAACATAGTATGACATGGACACTCATATAATATCCTCTATTTATTGCATTGAGCGACAGCTTTTCGGCGTAGATTCGCCTAGGGAGTGCTTGATAACGATGTAAGAATCGACATCAAAACGTCGCTCTATGCAATAAGCTTTTTGAAGTGCAAATTTATCCATAAAGTCCTATGCTTTATTTTTGACTCACCAACTTCTAGAATGCCGATCATTGTTTACAGGCTTGTATAAACCTGAAATGTGTAGCGTATATGATCTAATCTTAATTTTGTCTCCTGCTTTGCCTAGTTTCCGAGTTTCTGTTTGTATTCTCAAAACAGTGTCGGCCCATAAGTTTTCACATGCAATACAGCAATTAATACTCCTCGTTGTAACCCGTGTTAGGTGGTATAAACCTACACATGTTATTTGTCATCATTCACTTGATGGTCAGTTAATGAATTTATAACAGGTATAATTAGTGGTAACACACCTTAGATTACCCGACAAAGGTTCCCATTTGGCATTTCTTGTGTCTGGAGTAAATATTCAACATTATAAACATCGATCAAAGGATTAACCGATAACACGCTGATTGATTAATTACTTTTATCTTACACAGCGGAATTGTCAAAAGGTAGTGTTTATGTATGTAGATTTACTAATCTATACTGAATACACTCTGTCGTGTCGGTGTCTGCGTAAAAACAACGTCCTTCTTTCAAAGGATTAACCGGCAATACATTGATTGATTGCCCATTATTGGCTAACTAAATTACTGTTTTTAAAGAAAGGCGGACATTATGCAATTAGTTGCCAGGTGTGCTATCTTGGGTGACCAATGAGACTACATGTATACACCAATACCTGAAAAGATTTATCACTTTTTCGTATATTAAACTGTTAAAAGACACATCATTTGGAACAGTTTTGTGGATATTGATGGATACATTCCTCGAACAAGGTAATGGCCTGATATTGTTCCTATAACTTTAATCTGTTTTAATTTTTAATATTTGCATTTTGTTTTATTCATTTGTCGTAGCATTCAACAGAATCATTGTTTTCGCCGTGTAGTGTAATGAGACAGACAACATGCACTAGGTGTGTGTGCGAATTATGATTCACATTGGCAAACTATAAAATGTCTAGATATTACAGTTCTGTTATAAATTCACTATAAGTATCAGCAGATCTTCAGCTTTTATTTAGTTTCAAAATGCATACAAGTGTGATAATAAACTAATTAGGATTATAAGACCAAATATAAAGACGCACATTGACTAGTATCTACATACTGGTGAGTGGACATTAACCATGTGAATGTAGCAAAGAAATTTATCGCGCAGTATTGTGACTTCGACCCCCACCTCGCTTCCGTGGAAGAAATCGTTATGTTATAAGTTGTGTCATGCAAAATCCGTTTGGTTATGATTCCAATACATATTTAACAACGAGTAGAAAGTAGTCTTGATTTTCTAACTTGAAGAAAACAAACTATAATTTCATTAATTCGAACAGATGTTTTTAGTTTTAAAAATGGCGCCCTGTCGGAAACATCCGCCAGTCTGAGGATAAATGGTATTTAGGTTTGTTTTCACCGAGTACTAAAATCAAAGCTACTTTCTACTGGTAGTAAAATATGTATTTTATTGATGGCCAATAGGATTTTGCATGACATAGCGTATATCATAACAATTTCTCTCGTGGCAGCGAGGTGGGTGTCAATATAATACTACTTACAATATTATTGTTACTTCGACCACAACCTCACTTCCGAGGAAGAAATCGTTATGTTACAAGTTGTGTCATAGAAAATCTTTATGGTCATCAATCATATGCATATTTTACTACAACTAGTAAGTAGTTTTGATTCTTTAACTTCCGTGAAGCGATCTGAACACAAGTAATATATCGTTTCAGGCTTCCACAACGCTCGCTTCGCACTCACAAACATAACCCATTTAGCACGAACTGCGGGGTCCTGTGGAAATCTGTGCATGGGGACACCATCGCCCGACCCCTAGGAGCAACTGACGACAAAGCAACGATTCGGCATGTTGTCGTTGACGTCGAGAAATCATCAAAATGATGAGCGTGCTACACATTTTCTATACAACTAACTGAAAATCGTTCCTCATATGACGTCACTGCAGTGCTCTGGCGACAGAGTTACGTAACCTGTCTGTGGTTTCGTTGGCGGGCGAGAGGGAAGCAGGCGACTTTTTGGCCACTTTTAATCGCTCGGTATTAATTAACCACAAGTTTTTAAAGAATAAATTTGGTGTTCCGCATAAGACTAACCACAAATCTTTCATATGTAATGGTTAAAAGAGTAACAAAAAACAAAGTTTAGTGGTTCTTTAAGCAATGTGTAGTTAACTGTTTTCTTCTTGCTATTCCAGCCTTAATCCCATCACTGCAATAACACTTCCTCACACTTGTAATTATACCTCTTTATCTGTACCCTGTTCATCACTTGCTTCATAACTTACCTAAACCGAAACGTCACTTCCACTGTAACAAAGACGTTGTTTATCCAACCCGTGAAGATTCAGGTTACAATTGATCCTCAGTAACCCATGCTTGTCGTAAGAGGCGACTAACGGGATCGGGTGGGCAGGCTCGCTGACTTGGTTGACACATGTCATCGTATCCCAGTTGCGTAGATCGATGCTCATGCTGTTGATCCCTGGATTGTCTGGTCCAGACTCTATTATTTTCAGACCGCCGGCATAAAGCTGGAATATTGCTGAGTGCGGCGTAAAACTAAACCCACTCACTCACTTGTTCATCCATATATTGATATCCTTCCTTGTCTCATGCCTTCAGCAATTCAGGTTAGCTTGTCGAGGTCCACAAGAGATGAACTTTATAGTGGATGGTCACGAGTGTTGGTTTTTCATTCTTAAAATGGGGAATGTCAGGCGAACTAATTAATCCACATTGACAGGAAGCGGGTGATGTTTCCCCTGCAAAAACATCAGCGATGATTTCTGTTTATCCATTCTAACATTACATTTTTCGTTGGTGAGTTTTCTCAGTATTCCAGACATGTTATGGCGTCTCAGATATACATGTGACTAAAGCAGGGTTATGGTGCCGCCGATCCTTCCAGCACAATCGGGCTCTGTCGGGATTCAAACCGACAGTGATAGGTTTCTGGCGCGTCCAAGGGGCGCAACTCTGTATCGCGAATTGCGGCGCCTTCGACGACTGGGCCGCCAGGACACAACTAGATTAACCACCGACATTGTTGAAACCTTACATTGTATTATGAGAGATGCAGTTAGTCTTTAGCCATATGTAGGAAAGCAACTAATCCTATAATGTCATTTTGAAAATTTAATTATGCCTAATCGATAAAAATGATTGAACGACGTGTTGTAGCCTGTTTAAATATGTACGACGCTCATTACAACAATAGGGTGTCAGTGTATTGTATTTCATTATCTGTTGTGTCATTATAAAACGTTAGTCACTCAAACCAAGCCTCGCTCCCACTTTTAGAACTGTGCTAGGTCTGATAGGTCATACTAACACATGTTAGTTGGTGTACTTTGGCTAACAATCAAGATACGCTTTCACTGAAACTGGACTTGGAAGTATAACACGATTAATCGTTATGTTTTGGACAGTTACATTACCAGCAAACATACTGTTGGCGCCACCAGAAAAATGGATAATTTGAGATTTGGGACTGTTGTCTCCTGGTGATCTGATCATAACGCAAGGACCGTTATTATACGCGGTAATGTCAGCACAAGTCAAGTTGGGATGTAACTGTGTTCGGAGAGTTCTATAGAATGCGTGTAGAAACTACCGTGTCTCCCTATCAAGCTCTGGTCTCCTGTAAACCTCGGCACAAAGCAGGTTCACTATTAAACGGGCATGTGTCTTACGCTTTTGACAAAACGAGATTAAAAATTCTTGTATTTTCTGAGAGCGATGGTAACACATGAATTGTTACACGTGTTTCGTACATGGATATGACACACATGCAAGTTTAATAATAGCTTACTCGTTGCTTCTTACTTAAAATTAATGCAAACCCATGATATAGTCAGAATTGTACAATCGAGTCTGCTTTTAGCAGAGATTTCTTATGGATGTGGAAAGGGTTTTGTCGCTTCTATTCTTAATCCTTTTAGAAAACAATGCACTGTGAATATCCGTTTGTTGGAATATGTCCTTTAAAGGAAGTGCAGATAATTGTATAGGGGTCCCAGGCGCCAGGAGAGCAACCATTCGCGTCTGCTGTTAGAAACTGGCTACCTATCCAGAAAAGAACTCTGTCCATCTTCAAGTCATCCCATAGTCTGTCACAGACCCTGAAACATATATACAAGAAAACACATGCAAGTCTAGAATATGTGGACTCCTTTTCATTATATAAATTATTCATTCAGTCACCGTGAACATCTGACGATGGCGAAATAGCCATGCGTCAATCTGTAAGAACCGCTCATGGAGGAATCGGTCTGCTGAGTAAGGAAAGGGGGGAAGTATCCTCCATGCTGCAATAGTGAGTGAATAAGTGGGTGAGTTCAGTTTTACGCTGCACTGAGCAATATTCCAGCTGTATGGAGGCGGCCTGTAAAAAAATCGAGTCTGGACCAGACAATACAGTGATCAACAGCATGAGCATCAATCTACGCAATTGGGATACGATGACATGTGTCAACCAAGTCAGCGAGCCTGCCCACCCGTTAGTCGCCTCTTACGACAAGCATGGGTTACTGAAGACCAATTCTAACCCGGATCTTTACGGGTCACATGCTGCAAGAGGAAGAGATCAACCCTTTCACTGGCAATCCTAATGACAACAAGCTTCGGGAGAATGAAACTGAAGTAGACGACATCAGTGAAGAAGAAAGTGAAGTGTTGCAGAGAAGAAACGTGGCTCGTTGTCAGCGATGTTACCATGTGTTGATATACATCGTGATGTTACCTGGACACCAACCTGCACGTTGGACATGCTTTTCATGTTACAGAGTGGACGGATGTTTCCTCCGAGGCATTAAAACTGACCCCCAATTTGTTTGATAACAAATATATTTACCTGACGTATTTCTTTACTTATAAGCATCGGAATCTTTGTTCTTCTACAGAGGAATCGTAATTCTAAATCATGGATCACCTGATTGTCTGGTTTGTGTACAGGTCGCCGTCTCATGGCAAGAGTACTCCCGTGCAGCTTCCATGTTTGCTCAAGGGTTGCGAATAATGGTATTGGCAGGATATGCGTACCCTTTTCGCAAACACCCGGTGTCATCGCTGATATATGGTGATCTATTCATATAATTTTCACAGCTATTTTCCCTTTTACAGTAAACGGAATTTGTTTCAGAGGATAGTCATGGCTCGGTATTTTTTTTCACTGACGTTCTATATTTCCATGCATACTAACAATTTTATTCTTTTTAGTTAACACTACTGACACAGTACCATGTTAACGTTTCATATTAATCTTGAAATACATTCTGTATCAAGATTATACAATTCAAATCATGTCATGGGCTACTGGGGCTTGTGCAAGAGTCAGTTTATAATGATGCAAGTGCCAGGTGTCTAATTGCCTCTATTACCCACCGTATTAGAGGAACTACAGTTATCTACGGTATTTGTTCAGTCTGATCACGTAAAACAGTGACAGTAATTATTCACAGAATGGTTGTTCTTGTAACCAGTTATCTGCGAGTTTTGATCTGGTGAAACATTACTGTGATTCACAGTCTGGATAAAATACAGGAGTTCTTAGTGATTTGTTGTTGCATTGTACATTTTAAAATAATGGATGTTTGCACTTCTAAATATAATTTCTCCAACATCAGTACCAGCCTGGTTCCCTGGGTCTGTTGCGCCTGCGCTAACGCTCAGTGTCGGAGCGTTAGCGCAGGCGCAACAGACCCAGGGAACCAGGCTGCATCAGTACACGTGCCGAAGTGAAACAAAATGTTATATTTCATGGAAATCAAACTCACATCGTGTACATAGGAAAGCACAACAGAGCCTTTTCTTTCTGCGAAAATTGCGATCATTTAATGTAGGCACTAATATCTTAAAATTATTCTACCGAACATTCATTAATAGTATTTTAACTTTCTGCTTTCATGCCTGGTATGGCAATCTTCCTCTTAGACAGAAAAACAAACTTGACAAAATTGTAAACATATCCAGCAACATTTGCGGCTTCAATTTTGAACCTCTACCTTTTCAGTTTGAGTCAAAAGTTAAGAAGAAAGCTCTGGCCATTCAATCGGATCCATCACACTTTTTAAATGAATGTTATGAACTTCTGCCTTCTGGCCGCTGTTTCAAAATCATGTATTACAAAACTAATAGAACTTCAAAATCATTTGTCCCATACAGCATAAAACTTCTAAATCTTCCTCCAAAATTGTAATAGTGAAATCTATGATGAGGTACGAGGATTATTATATTATTATTATATACATGAACTTTGATTATGTTATAATTCAACATTATATTCTGATTAGCTTGGCATTGTGTATACATGTATATACTTTAAATTATTTGCTGTTATATGCTTGTATTGGCTCTTTGAATGCAAGACAAATTTCCCTTGCGGGACAATAAAGTTTATCTTATCTTATAATTTGTAGTCTTCACAGCCCTGGGCGCCGTTTTACAAAGCTTTATCGTTATCTTATACGAGGTAGGAATGCTACGAGGAAAGATACGAGATCTTAGGCTTACGAGAGTTTTGTGAAAAGGGGTTCTGAACCAAATTATTTTCCCTTCCACCCAGCCATCCGTGAAGATCCGGGTCAGAATTGGTTTTCAGCAACCCATGCTTGTCGCAAGAGGCAACTAACGGGATCGGGTGGTGAGGCTCGCTGGCTTGTCATCATACCTCATTTGCGCAGATCGATGCTCATGCTGTCAATCACGGGATTGTCTGGTCCAGACAGGATCAACCCCCACCCCCATTTACGACGTCATGCTCTCAGCAATGAAGCAATATGGTTAGAGCCGATTGACTCTTTGAAACACTAACAAGTATATGCTCAGTATGGGGTCAGTACTCCGGATCTGACACTGCTTTGATAACATGACAGCAACATGCTCAATATAACCTGTGTGATGTCTTTTGGCACATTTCGTAACAACGAGCTCAGTATTAATGTGTGGTATATTTTGGCACATTTAATAACAACGTGTTCAATATTGCCTGTGTGATATATTCTGGCACATTTAATAACAAAGAGCTCAATATTGCCTGTGTGATATATTTTGGCATATTTGATAACAACGTGCTCAATATTTCCTGAGTATTAACTTTTGGTAACATCTGAAAATAAGAAAGTGCTCAGTGTTTCTTGCAATAAATCTCAGGGCACATCATACACAGAACACGTTCAATAGTAGAACCGAGGGATGCTGCCTGTAAGTTCTCGTCCATACACAGTGCCGGTAGAGCACTGACTGTAGAAAGCTAGTCTGCCGTAGAGGCCCTGAAACAAATACTAACTGCAGTCCTGGAGACTAGAATATGTGGAGAGTTTAGATTACAGCAGTTTCTGAAATTGAAAAACGTCTCTTCGCTCCTTATTATTTTATTTTATGAAGATAATTATGGAACTGGGTTTTTCGGGAAAATACGTTCGTAGAGAGACTGTCTATTGGTCTGTGTAAAACTGTGCAGCATGACGCGTGTGAGATGAACGGGCTGTCCACATGACCACACGACTACGTGGCTTAATTACCATGTCCAGCCAGAATCTGGACAGTGTAATTAATGCCCTCTGTGAGATTTTGGAGGTATTGATCAGACTGCCCGTGCATTGTTGTACTGAACAGCTCGCACACTCCACTCGGATCAAGACTGCCAGCGCTGTGTGGATTACGTCAGTCGGCCATGATGGAACTGCCGTGTGGAGGAAACAAGGCGTCCCTGCGTGAAGGACTCTGGGGAATAGAGACGTTGTGACTACATAACACGCTGGACCAGTGAGTGAGTGAGTGAGTGAGTTTAGTTTTACGCCACACTCAGCAATATTCCAGCTATATGGCGGTGGTCTGTAAATAATCGAGACTGGACCAGACAACCCAGTGATCAACAGCATGAGCATGGATCTATACGCAGTTGGGATACGATGACATGTGTCAACCAAGTCAGAGAGCCTGACCCCCGATCCCGTTAGTCGCCTACGACAAGCATGGGTTGCTGAAGATCAATTCTATTCTAACCCGGATCTTCACGGTTTAATTCATTCTGGAAAAGTATAACATTCTGATCTCCTTTGGTGTAAACATGTCACCCAGTCTGGTCCAGCGACACATGTCATCAGTTCCCAATTGCGCAGATGCTCATGCTGTTGATCACTTGAATGTCTGGTCCAGACTCGATTATTTACAGACCGCCGCCATATAGCTGGAATATTGCTGAGTGTGGCGTAAAACTAATCTCACTCACTCACTCACTGGTCCAGCGTGGTATGTACCCACCAACAGGTTTCGACGTAAACGCTTCTTACAGTTTAAAACCCTTCGTTTAACGCCGTCGGTTCAAAGTGATGTATCCAGATATCGGACACTCCTTAATCCGAAACACTCTCCTCCAGATTGAGATGGTACCTGTATCCAAATGAGGGACTAAAATAGAATGACTTATAACATGAAAAGTCGGGAACATTACCGGGATCAAATCACGTTTAACGTTTTCAGCCAATCAGTACACAAACCTCCACGTCAAGAGACAATACTTAGTCGATACGACAAAGCCTCTTGTCTATAAACAGCAATACCTTGCTTGAATACCAAACTAAATACATTGTCAAACATATCATGGACTTACTCTTGATCAGATTTATCTTGAAGTTCGAGAAATCCATCTTGTTGATTCACTTCAGCCATGTTCGTGCTGCTCACTGTGAGGTTCTGAGTTCGTTTCTGTAAGAGATAAAAATGCTAGATTTCAGCCATTAATAAACCTGACAATGCTGATAGTAATATTTTAAATTCCGCAAATGTGAAACATGATATTTCCTCCGGTAAAAAAAGCCCTAATCTTATCTCGTCCTTTGTCGCAATTTAGACAATCTCATTAGAAACATGCAATCAGTCTGGATCCATCAACAAAGCTTCGTAGTACTACGTCATTCGTACGCCTATGATGAAGTGTACAGTTACGATAGCTCGTAATAGTACGGACGATTTGTGGGTCGGGACACGGATTCCTACAATGTTGGGATGAAATGCGTTATAAACAGGAGTGAATGAGTATGGTTTTACGCCGCTTTAAGCAATATTCCAGCAACACCACGGCGGGGGACACCAGAAATTCACGCATTATCCCCTTTTAGGAAATGGAACCCGCTGTATGCTATCAAGGCGGCTGTATGCTATCAAGCCGGTTGTACCAGGCTGTTCCACAGCTTATTTTACTCTCGTTCATATGAACGCCTTACAGACAAAGGGTATGTCGGATTGTGTTTTTTGTCCAAGTAGATGGAAGATGTAGTGTATCTTGACATTTCCGAGAAATCTGTGCAGGCGTCTGTAATTATATACTAGCTATATAAAGAAACTTTGCCAATCGGAAATCAAAATACATACACAAACAACTTAGTTAAGCACCCCCTGACATATCTCACGATTGAATGAGCCCCGATCTCAACTCTTTGGAGCATATCTGGGACTTGATTGATCCTCCTGTACAGAACCTGGCCCAATTGGAAGCTGCTCTACACGAGGAATGACTTAGACTGCCCCTTCAGAGGATCAGGGGGCTGACAGGAGGTATGAGGAGGGTGCTGGCTGTCATACAGTCACATGGAGGGTACACTCAGTATTTATCTTGAATCGTGTAAGATGCGCTAAATAACATTTGGAATGTTCACATTCACCAGGAAATTCAACATTAAACATTCCAGGGCAATGCTTGTACAGACAGGTGTTTGTATGAAAATCAACAAATAAACAATGCTGAAACGCTCTGAGATGTTTACTCATAAAATAAACACTTAACCACTGTGAGATGTTTTAAATAAACAACACTGAGACACTCTGAGATGTTTAGGATTAGAACTACTTCAACAACATGTAATGAATTTGTTCTAATCTTACTATTTTCTAACAGTTTGGACTGGGGGAGCTCAAAACATTATACGGCTCATGAACCGCACACCATGCCTCAACGCACAGCGTCACGTGGTTTTGGATTTGTTTGTTTGTAGTTTGACGCCGCACCCAGCAATATATTAGCTATATGGCGGCGGTCTGTCATTAATCAAGTCTGGGCCACTGATCAACAGCATGAGCATCGATCTACGCAAATAGGATACGGTGACATGTGTCAACCAAGTCAACGAGCCTGACCACCCAATCCTGTTGGCCGCCTCGTACGACAAGCATGGGTTACTGAAGATCAATTCTAACCCGGATCTTCACGGGTTGAGGCTATTGGGGTGGTCCGTGGTGGAATGTGATTGTACGTGAATGTGATTGCGCATTTTCATTGCAACGAAAACACCATTTCAGTACTGTTGTGACGTTATCAGAACAATGACGAAGTTGCTGATCACGTGCAGGACGTCCACGCGTCACGACGCCAGGACACGGGTGACCGTAGTACCACTTATCAGAACAATGACGAAGTTGCTGATCACGTGCAGGACGTCCACGCGTCACGACGCCAGGACACGGGTGACCGTAGTACCACTTATCAGAACAATGACGAAGTTGCTGATCACGTGCAGGACGTCCACGCGTCACGACGCCAAGACACGGGTAACCGTAGTACCACTACAGAGTATACCTTCTTTCCTCATACCCGACCAGCGAGAAAACCATCAAAGATGGTGGCGAAATCATGTCCGTGAACCTCGGTACTGGTGGAGCACTGATGTTTTCACAGGCGAGTCCAAATTTCCTGCGTGACGGACGTCAACGTGTCCACAGACGTTTTGGAGAACGTTATGCTCAAGTCTGAGTCGAGGAGAGGAATCGCTTCGGGAGTGGTTCTGTGATTTGGGTTGGGACACGGGGGCATGTCACGCTTAGAAACAGCGTTAGAGAGACATATAGGTATATAGACCCTACCCTAGTACTATTTTTTTTCTTAGTACTAGGGTAGGGGACTACATACCTATATGTCTCTCTAACGCCATTTCTAAGCGTGACATGCCCCCGTGGTTGGGATAAGTGCACGTCAAAGAACCCCTGTATATAGTTGTTGTTCAGGGCAATTTGGTAGGTGAGGGCTACTCATACCAGATTCTCGAACCATTGGCAATTCATTTTCTTCAAAGGCATATAGTCCAGGATTGACGTTCGAAAAGGATAATATAAATAAGTTTACATGGAAACGTTTCATTGTTGTCATATTTCACAGTTTGATTTGGTTTCTCGTAGTATATATCGAGGAACCTGAATAATTGCAGGGAGACTATATCCCTGATAATAGTCGTGCACATCTATGCTTTGGATGCTGACAATTCCATACGTATGCGTGCTGTCCCCAGAGATGTTAAGGATCTGTGTGGTGTCTTCAATCTAAAATTACTGCCAGAAATACAAAGTAAATGTTTGTAAACGTTTGTCTATACTAATACAACGTGGACTGATTGGTCTCGTATGATATAGCGACATGTATATTGTACTGCGTTGTGTCATTGTGTTCTGGGGGCGGTGGGGGAGCCTAGTGGTTATAGTCACTCGCTCACCATTGTGTTCTGATATTAATACAAGGTAACGGCTATTTAACTACACACACAATATCCACGCTGTTCACCTCCGACAACAGCAATATCTCATTTAGAAATCATAAAAACAGTCTGGTTAATGAACAACATATTATATTTTTCTCCTTCGCCTACAAATATTCATTTCAGCAGTCAATACGATGGGTACAAATAAACATGTGAAACTAATAAACAAGTTGGTCTTTCCGCGTGAAATAATATTTCTGCAGTCACAGGTTTCCCACACCCAGCTAAACAATAAATTGTCTTCAGCGACTCAAGTCAAAGACGAGCAACTCATGCTTTTCGCAATAGGCAACTAACGGGGTCGTGTGGTCAGTCTTGCTTAGGCATTTGACACCTCTCCATGTCCCACACAACTGTCAGATAGCTGCCTTTAATCTCAGTGCATACTATCAGGATGTGAATGCAATTTTCATTTTCAACAGCGTCAGGAAACGTGTTAGACAGACTACCAGGAACGTCTTTGTCTGAAGGCCTCTAAGCCTGCTTGTTTATCTACATTTCCGTGGAACAACTGCAGGATATGATTTGCCTGTTGACGGTGGGTTAGAGGACCGTTACCCAGACGTCAGAGACTGGCGTTATCGTAAGGTAAGATACCGACAATCTTGTTTTTACTGTGAATTGTATGAACGCGTGGGAAGATTCATTGTTATGTTCACAATACCCACTACGGAGCAGATGAAAGGCTGTGAAAATCAATTGTCGAAGCCATTATACCCCGTTCCTCTGAAGCTCGTGTTGGCAGCGTGTACCGCCTCATTGTTGCACGGAGCTACAACATGTATCATACATTGTATGGGAACCTGTGCGCTACGTTCAGACCATGGTTTCCGTACGAGTGCATTTGTAGATTACATATGGGTTATTTTTATATCGCTAAACCTTTTCCGTTCACCAATAGACTGACGGGTCTTTTGTATGGTAGATGGTAGAGCTACATAACAACTACTGTCAAATGAAAACAGTGTATGTTCTGCCCAGTGTCTAAAAGTAGTTATTTTCACTAGTACGACTTGGTCAGTGTTAACTCAATATGTAAGCTTTGACAGTTACATATATAGCTGGTATTGACCTATTCATGCTAATTAATGATTTGACAGGAAGGTGGAAACTAGAATGGGGCCGTTAGATTTCCCCATAATAAATAGAATGCTTTCAAATATGTCAGACAGAACAGTAACATTACTAGTGCATTATATATTAAGTTGTTTTGTTAATTCTGTGGATTGTCTGGTCCAGACTTGACTATTTATGTACAGTGTGAACCATATTGCTGGAATATTGCTGAGAGTGCATTAACAACAAACAATATATCGTCTCCAGGTAGTTTTCTTTTATTCAAATAGTTAATCGGGTCCTTGGTACTTTCATCACATCTACTATATTAGTTTGTAACACTTTTGTAGATAAAAGTTCATACAAAGTTAGATGAATGTTGAACCATGTCACAGCAGTTACCACTTCAACGCAGGCATGGAAGGTATTAGGTGCATATTTCATCAAATGTCAAATGTTACTAATAGTCCGACAGAGATTCCGCTATAAGATTTTGAGTCACATGTATCAATGACTGCCTGAAGATGATCCACAATATCTGTGTGATCTGATCACAGAGTACAAACCAACTCGAACACTGCGGAAAGAAAACAAGCTCCTGTTGCAAGTTCCATCTGTGAAATCTGTGGGCTTCACACATTGTACCCATGTTTGGAAACAAACCCGGGTGTTCGGCGTGATGAATGAACATTTGACCCACTTAGGCTACCCCATTGTCCGCCTCACAGTCCCTGAACCACATTATTTTCCCCTGCTAATATTTTAAACTTGTTGGTAAGACATGCCAACAGCTCTGCAAGTTCTTTAATAAACCCTTTCTAAACAAATGAAAGGTTTGCCTCTGTCTTTTTTAAGCAGAAAAAAACTATAAACCTTTGCAACAATCGACTGCAAATCGTTGTCCATAGTGGACGCTGTGATAAAGATGTGCATGCATGACGGGAAACTTATTTATCAAGACTTAACATTTATATTATATTTCTTCAATAAAGAAACGATAATTAAGTAAAGTAACACAAACATTCAACATTTATTTGTTTAAGAAACACGTTAATTCATATTTTTACACCACCTGTATTATTAGCATAAATGTAAAGACTATTTCAGATTTCTGTTGTTGAACTCTGAAAAAATCTTAAGTTGCTGTTTTGGTACCAAATTCTCTCCTGTAAACTGCCCTTTAAATGCATGGGAATGTTAAATCGGTTGAAATAAAAATTAGGTAGACAATAGACGAGTTGATATATTGACAACATAGTACATTTATCACTTTATAAAGATATTAAGGCTAAAAAGCATTTTTCTAGCATTTCCGACAGTACTTTTTTTTTTTTTTAGGTCATCGTATCCCAAATGCCTAGATCTGTATTCATAATGTCAATCATCGTACTGAGTGGTTCAGATCGCCGTGATATCTAACGGTGGAGTATTGTTCGGTGCTGCGGCACAAGAAAGAACGAACAAAACGCACGACCAAATTCCCAGATAGCATTCGGACATTGGCGGGGCGGTGGGGTAGCCTAGTGGTTAAAGTGTTGGCTCGTCACGCCGAAGACCCGGGTTCGAATCCCCACATGGGTACAATGTGTGAAGCCCATTTCTGGTGTCCCCCGCCGTGATGTTGCTGGAATATTGCTAAAAGCGGCGTAAAACCAAACTCAGCCAGTCAGTCAGTCAGTCGGACATTGGCCCAACGTTGGCAATGTTGGCAAAACCATTGCCAACGTTGGGCCAAATGTCTGAATGCTATCTGGGTCGTGACCTCATTTGAAAACAAAAGTATCAAAGAGCTGGGTCTGTTTCATCTACATGCAATAAGCAATACACACGTCACAACTCAGGATGCTCCAGTTATTGTGACTATGTTTCATCACTCGTTACCGTTCCCAGTTGGTGACAGGTTGGCGGCGATCAAGAGATCCCGTTGATCACGCGGAGTGCGGCGCTCAGTTGTGCGGCTAACAGTACCAGGGGTCACTTCCGGGTTTTGATTTGTTGTGTTCTCGGAAGGGAGAGTGTTGCATGTGGCATTTGACACCTCTCCATGTCCCACACAACTGTCAGATAGCTGCCTTTAATCTCAGTGCATACTATCAGGATGTGAATGCAATTTTCATTTTCAACAGCGTCAGGAAACGTGTTAGTCAGACTACCAGGAACGTCTTTGTCTGAAGGCCTCTAAGCCTGCTTGTTTATCTACATTTCCGTGGAACAACTGCAGGATATGATTTGCCTGTTGACGGTGGGTTAGAGGACCGTTACCCAGACGTCAGAGACTGGCGTTATCGTAAGGTAAGATACCGACAATCTTGTTTTTACTGTAAATTGTATGAACGTGTGGGAAGATTCATTGTTATGTTCACAATACCCACTACGGAGCAGATGAAAGGCTGTGAAAATCAATTGTCGAAGCCATTATACCCCGTTCCTCTGAAGCTCGTGTTGGCAGCGTGTACCGCCTCATTGTTGCACGGAGCTACAACATGTATCATACATTGTATGGGAACCTGTGCGCTACGTTCAGACCATGGTTTCCGTACGAGTGCATTGGTAGATTACATATGGGTTATTTTTATATCGCTAAACCTTTTCCGTTCACCAATAGACTGACGGGTCTTTTGTATGGTAGATGGTAGAGCTACGTAACAACTACTGTCAAATGAAAACAGTGTATGTTCTGCCCAGTGTCTAAAAGTAGTTATTTTCAGTGCAATTTCACTAATACGACTTGGTCAGTGTTAACTCAATATGTAAGCTTTGACAGTTACATATATAGCTGGTATTGACCTATTCATGCTAATTAATGATTTGACAGGAAAGTGGAAAATAGAATGGGGCCGTTAGATTTCCCCATAATAAATAGAATGCTTTCAAACATGTCCGATGGAACAGTAACATTACTAGTGCATTATATATGAAGTTGTTTTGTTAATTCTGTGGATTGTCTGGTCCAGACTTGACTATTTATGTACAGTGTGAACCAATATTGCTGAGAGTGCATTAACAACAAACAATATATCGTCTCCAGGTAGTTTTCTTTTATTCAGATAGTTAATCGGGTCCTTGGTACTTTCATCACATCTTCTATATTAGTTTGTAACATTTTTGTAGATAAAGGTTCATACAAAGTTAGATGAATGTTGAACCATGTCACTGCATTTACCACTTTAACGCAGACATGGAAGGTACGGTGCATATTTCATCAAATGTCAAATGTTACTATTAGTCCGACAGAGAATCCGCTATAACATTTTGAGTCACATGTATCAATGCCTGCCTGAAGATGATCCACAATATCTGTGTGATCTGATCACAGAGTACGAACCAACTCGAACACTGCGGAAAGAAAGCAAGTTCCATCTGTGAAATCTGTGGGCTTCACACATTGTACCCATGTTTGGAAACAAACCCGGGTGTTCGGCATGATGAATGAACATTTTACCCACTTAGGCTACCCCATTGTCCGTCTCAGTCCCTGAACCACATTATTTTCCCTGCTGCCGAGCCTTATCTGCAGTGCTAAAGCCCTAAATAAAACAAGTCTAGATTTCCTCAGGTTCTGAATCTCTGGTCTCACTGGGGCTCCTTTTCAATTTAAATGGGCTTGTGTGTTACTATCAGAATTATATATTCTAAGCAGTGAAAACCTCATCACTAGTGCAGATGTATAAGCATTACTTGAAATCAACCCTGAAAAATATCAACTATCATATGTCAGTTGGAACTTGACTGCAAAAGAATATACTCATGGAAACAAATAAGGGAACACATGAAAGTACAAGTGTTCCTTTATTTGTTCCCAGAGTTTCACCCACAGTGCAATACATACCTTGTGAAGAATATAGGAACACTTGTACATTCATGTGTTCCTTTATTTTTTTCCATGAGTATATGTCTGCGTTGACTGAAGGATGGTGTTGTATGAGTCTACCCTGGGCACCTGTTAGTGGTGTGTACAGACTTGTTCAGTCTTCCACTACCTATTGCTGTCAACTGTTCCAGCATGTTTCGGCAACGTGAGGCTGTGTGTGTACTTCAATAACTACTGCTGTAATGCAGGGCCATTGTAGTCATACAGAACTCAAACTACACAAGTGTGAGGCTGCAATCAACAGTGGATGTATACATTGTCAAAGTGGATAGTGATATAAGTTGTCATTGTGTAATATTAGAGAGGGGTGACCAATGTGGCATCAGAGAGGGGGCCTGTGGAAGATGTACCCAGTGTTTGCCCTAGGCATAAACATTGATCAGTCATCATGACTCCCTGGTGTCAGGGGGGGATTCATGGACATGTATTTAGGAGTCAACTTGAGTTTGGAACTTTCATTAATGCATCAAGTGTGATTGTTTAATAGCAACAAAAAACAAGGTAAGGCAGGTCAGGTATTTTATCAGCACTGAGCAGTTAACTGGCAAACATTTAGTTTTAGAAGTTTAGATTACCTGAACTATGGGCTTTTAAATTTGCTGCGTATTTGAGATAATTTATGAGTAAAAAATGCAGGTCTTCTGCGTCATGGCAAACACTGTGTACCATGGCAAGTCATCAGTAGGGTAAACAGGCCTATGAAAGAAAACTTTCCCTCTGTGCAGAAAAACGCAGAAAAGCCCACATTAATCATGGAAATAGCAACATAAACATATTACCTCGCTACTGAAACAGTAAAAACGGCATAGAGAAGAACATGAAACTGCAACATTTTTACATCAGCGAACTTTGACATCTACTGTGGATGCACGTTACGATCTGCTCTTCTTTTAAATTTCCGAGCAACAGTGAATTGCCTCGCAGAGAAAAAGTATTGAATATGGCGAAATAATTGCTGTCAATCATTTCATACGAATGGAAAGTAAACTTAATAAGTGTGCACACAAGTATGATATGATAAATGCCAAATAACACAACAGAAATACTTTAAAAAGGGAATGTAACTTTTGTCCAAGCTGGAAAATGTCAACATGCGGTCGAGACTTCCTCTTCCATGTGCACATGCACAAAATCGAAGTTGCAGGCTCTTCATTTTTTTATCCAGTTAACGATTTAAAGTTACCGTGTTTACCGTTTCAGTAGCGAGGTATTATGTGTATGTTGCTATTTCCACGATTACTGTGGACTATTCAGTGTTTTTCTGCACAGTGGGAAAGTTGTGTTTGGTAGGCCTGCTAGAGTGATGGTATGAACGGGTACTCTTGTTTGTGTATAACTGAACTCGGACCAAGGTTCCCACATTTCTGTGAAGAACAATTCCATAATTTTTCAAGACAAATATTGCTTTTTCCAGACACAACAATATATGTCCTAGGGTATTTTGATACCTTTAAACATATATTACTGTATCTGAAATAAAGCAATATCTTAAATACGTCCTCCCATCTCCCCTTGCAGCTGTCCATCAAACATTGAACACACCTTATTGTTTAGAATTTTAGGACCACATGCATTTAAGCAAGTATTCACATATATGGAAACTAATCCTGATACACATGTTGATGACTGTCATAGCCCTTGAAGTAGTGGTGTTCCGATGATCGAAAATCGATTGAAAGAAGGATTAAATATGAATATTGATTGTAAAAAACATATTTTCGATTGATTGGAATTTTGTTGCTTTAGTTGAACACGCTTGAATGAAGTAAACTAGCGATTAAATTTGACTATTATTCACAAACAAACATGCGCTCAACAGCGTAAAGCTATGCGCATTGTAAAATTGTAACTACTTTTATTGTTTAATTACAATTCCATTGTCTTTCTTGCATGCATGCATTTCATTGCATGACAGTATTAGTTATACGGAGCATTTATTAGAAAAACCTGGTGAAAAACCCTTCAAATTGGTGATTTCATTGAAAATGGATATATTTCGATTAAAATCGATAATCGTTCATCACAATCCTCCGATAATCGATAGTGGATTTGGTTTCCGATTCCCAACACTACCTTGAAGTACTGTCAAGATTGAAGTACAGTTTTGTTAGATAAACACCTCCAAGAATATTCCAAGAATATTCTATGATTTCATCCATTATTTTCAAATTCCATGATTTTTCCAAGCTGGAAAATGGGGTGTGAAATTTTCAGGTTTTCCAGGTCTTGTGGGAACACTGTCAAACTGACCGTTTGACTTGTGCCAAGTAGACAGCAGCCTTTACAATATGTTTCACTGCACTTTATGTTCTTGAATTGATTGTATTTTTCAGCAGATGTATATCAATGATTGACCAATTATTCGATCAGTCAATTTAGTACCCTATCTTAGGCATTCCATGATTCAGTCTTTTTTAAGCACTCAGTATAGTTAGTGCAATTGGTCAGTTGTTGTGAACTTGTTTCTAGTCCGAGGTCTGCATACCTGTCTCTAGTCCGAGGTCTGCATACCTGTCTCTAGTCAGAGGTCTGTATACCCATCTCTAGTTCGAGGTCTGCATACCTGTCTCTAGTCAGAGGTCTGTATACTTCTCTCTAGTCAGTGGTCTGCATACTTCTCTCTAGTCAGTGGTCTGCATACTTCTCTCTAGTCCGAGGTCTGCATACATCTCTCTAAACAGAGGTCTGCATACATCTCTCTAGTCAGTGGTCTGCATACTTCTCTCTAGTCCGAGGTCTACATACTTCTCTCTAGTCAGAGGTCTGCATACTTCTCTAGTCTGAGGTCTACATACTTCTCTCCAGTCAGTGGTCTGCATACTTCTTTCTAGTCCGAGGTCTGCATACTTCTCTCCAGTCAGTGGTCTGCATACTTCTTTCTAGTCCGAGGTCTGCATACTTCTCTCCAGTCAGAGGTGTGCATACTTCTCTCTAGTCAGAGGTGTGCATACTTCTCTCTAGTCAGAGGTTTGCATACCTGTTTCTTGTCAGAGGTCTGTATACTTCTCTCTAGTCAGAGGTCTGCATACTTCTCTCTAGTCAGAGGTGTGCATACTTCTCTCTAGTCAGAAGTTTGCATACCTGTTTCTTGTCAGAGGTCTGTATACTTCTCTCTAGTCAGAGGTCTGCATACTTCTCTCTAGTCAGAGGTGTGCATACTTCTCTCTAGTCAGAAGTTTGCATACCTGTTTCTTGTCAGAGGTCTGTATACTTCTCTCTAGTCAGAGGTCTGTATACTTCTCTCTAGTCAGAGGTCTGCATACTAGCAAACCAATATCACCGATCCCAATGCAAACTTTGTTATTAAAATTACAGACTGGCTTATTGTTGGTTATCATGTACAACTGTATAGATGTAATGAAAACCGACACCCACCAGCAGTGTGATAGCAGAGATGAAACCTAATTACCAGCAGTGTGGTGTCCCTTGAAGATACTTGTGTGGCCTGTAGTCTGGTGGAGGCCCATGTCACACTTGCTATCTCCCAGAATACTCAGACACACGCTTCCTCCTGATGCCAATATGGCAAGAGTGTGTGCTAATGATGGGACATAGCTTACTTATCTCCTGTACACGTGTCACTGTCTGGGGTTGTGTGATAATGTGCTCCTATACACTGCAGGTGCTTGATGCATCAATAGTTGTCCTCACCTACCTACATGCGTAATACGCTTTTATACAACGTGTGTCATTGTCACCTTGCCTCGTGGTACTTCTATACCAGCTGTACCACTGAACAGTGTTATACCAGTTGTACCACTATTGTACCGCTGTTGTACCAGCTGTACCACTGTGTTGTACCACTTTGTTGTACCAGCTGTACCTCACTGTTGTACCAGCTATACGACTATATTGTACCAGCTGCACCACTGTGTTGTACCATCTGTACCATTTCTGTACCAGTTGTACAACTGTTGTATCAGTTGTATTACTGTTGTATCAGCTCTACCACTGCAGGCTGAACATTCACTCTTTCCTGAGTTATTATTAAAGTACTTCAACATACATGTATGGTAGCACAGAGAAATAAAGATGCTGCTTGAGGCAAAGAGTAATATTTGCATTCTTGAGCTGTCACCTATCTTGTCTACGTTTTTCTCTTCCTTAGTAGGGATGGAATGGAGCCGGTTGTTGGCGTTAAGAACCGATTAAGTATGGTATTGATTTTTAAATGCTAGAACCTAAGCTGAGATTGTGTTCTGCCAGCCGAACACTCCTCTCCATCCTGGCTGTGTCCACAAGAATACCACAGACTTTACCACAGGATTCAATAGGTAGTCCACGTGATTCCTCTCACACCACACACAGCTTACCAGTCATTCTGGACCAACCAATTACTTTCCTGCAAGACGTTTATACCTTTTTCCGTAAAATAAGGAACAGAAATTTCATTAAGCATGTTTGGTATTGCTCTCTGCAGTATCTTGCCCATTGTTGAGGGAGGTTATTTAGGAGTAAAGATTTGTAATTTTCACAGACATTAATGAGAATGACAGACCAGCTTATGTTAGAAGTTTTAACACAACACTCATGCTCAATCTGCCCGAGGTTGAGTCTGAGACGGTTGAGGGTTGAGGCTGGGGTTGAGACTGGGGCTGGGGTTGGAGAAGGGGTTGAGGCTGGGGCTGGGGTTTGAGTTGAGGCTGAGGTTGGGGCTGGGGTTGGAGAAGGGATTGAGGCTGGGGGTTGAGACTGGGGTTGGAGAAAGGGTTGAGACTCGGGCTGGGGTTGGAAAAGGGGCTGAGACTAGGGCTGGGGTTGGAGAAGGGGTTGAGACTGGGGCTGGGGTTGGAGAAGGGGCTGAGACTGGGGCTGGGGTTGGAGAAGGGGCTGAGACTGCGGTTGGAGAAGGGTTTGAGGCTGGGGTTGGAGAAGGGCTGGGGTTGGAGAAGGGGCTGAGACTGGGGCTCGGGCTTGAGCTGAGGCTGAGGCTGAGACTGGGGCTGGGGTTGGAGAATAGGCTGAGGCTGGGGTTGGAGAACAGGTTGAGACTGGGGAAGGGGTTGGGGCTGGGGTTGGAGAAGGGCTGAGGCTGGGGCTGGAGTTGGAGAAGGGGCTGAGACTAGGGCTGGGGTTGGAGAATAGGTTGAGAGTGGGGCTGGGGTTGGAGAAGGGGCTGAGGCTGGGGCTGGGGTTGGAGAAGGAGTTTAGACTGGGGCTGGGGTTGGAGAATAGGCTGAGACTGGGGCTGGGGTTGGAGAAGGGGTTGAGACTGGGGTTGGAGAAGGAGCTGAGACTGGGGTTTGAAAGGGTTGGGGCTGGGGCTGGAGAAGGGGCTGAGACTGGGGCTGGGGTTGGAGAAGGGGCTGAGACTGGGGTTGGAGAAGGAGCTGATACTGGGGCTGGGGTTGGAGAAGAAGTTGGGGCTGGGATTGGAGAAGGGGCTGAGACTGGGGCTGGGGTTGGAGAAGGAGCTGAGACTGGGGCTGGGGTTGGAGAAGGGGTGGGGGCTGGGGTTGGAGAAGGGGTTGAGACTCGGGCTGGGGTTGGAGAAGGGGCTGAGACTGCGGTTGGAGAAGGGGTTTGAGGCTGGCGTTGGAGAAGGGGCTGAGGCTGGGGTTGGAGAAGGGGCTGAGACTTGGGCTGGGGTTTGAGCTGAGGCTGAGGCTGAGACTCGGGCTGGGGTTGGAGAATAGGTTGAGTCTGGGGCTGGGGTTGGAGAAGGGTTACCACTAGGGCTGGGGTTGGAGAATAGGCTGAGAGTGGAGCTGGGGTTGGAGAAGGGGCTGAGGCTTGGGTTGGAGAAGGGGCTGAGACTGGGGCTGGGGTTGGAGAATAGGCTGAGACTGGGGCTGGGGTTGGAGAAGGGGCTGAGGCTGGGGTTGGAGAAGGGGCTGAGACTGGGGCTGGGGTTGGAGAATAGGTTGAGACTGGGGCTGGGGTTGGAGAAGGGGCTGGGGCTGGGAGTTTGGGACTGGAGAAGGGGCTGAGACTGGGACTGGAGAAGGAGTTGAGACTAGGGTTGGAGAAGGGGCTGGGGTTGGAGAAGGAGTTGAGACTGGGGCTGGGGTTGGAGAAGGGGTTGAGACTAGGGTTGGAGAAGGGGCTGGGTTTGGAGAAGGGGTTGAGACTGGGGCTGGGGTTATAAACAAAACTGAGTAGGTGTCGGTAGGGATGATTATGTAACATTAATGTTGCTGACAGCCTGACATCCTTGTGTCAGTTAATATCTGATATTGACACAATAAAGAGTTTTAGAACAACAGAAAAAGATAAAACAATATTATAAACAAACAGCACCAGACTAGTATCATGTAGTATGCAGTCACAGTACATGTACATGGAATGCTCCAATATTTAAAGCATAAATGACAAAATGAAATACATGACTAAAGTGAGCACTGACAGGTTATCATACCCTCTTCAAGTATTTGTAAGTAGTCTAGTGTGTATAAGTAGTGTTCATCTATTGAACAGTAATACCTCTGTGATCACAGAGGTGTGAGGTACTAATGAGGAAGTGTGAAGTAACAGATCAGCACAAAGCTATAAAGTTCTGAACATTTGAACAACTTTTAAATTAAATCCTTTTAACATGAATGTCATTCACGACAATGCAGATCAGTGTTCCCACTGCAGTGTAGATGAATATGACAGTACATCACTGATTCCTTAATTTCAGAATATTTAAAACGTACTTTTGATTTTGAATAGAAATTCAGAAGTACCTTTTAAGATTCTTCTTAAGGATAATCATCCTGTCAACATGTTTCCAACTCAGGTTGGCCCTTTGTGCAGTGACAATAACACCAGCAGTTGAAAATACCCTCTCGGAAGGAACAGAAGTTGCAGGGATACAGAGCAAGGACTTGCAAAATTGTGACAACATTGGGTAGACCTGCTGGTGACATTTCCACCACACCAAAGGATTTAAATCCACATTTAGAGGAATCTCTTTCCTGTATTTATCAATTTCCTCCTGTACACAAACCAATGAGGATTTGCTGGCCCCCTCAGTGTCTCCATCCCCTGGACCGGGTTCCACCTTAACAACATACACAACACCAAACAGAGCCGAGAGAGAGGTTGAAGCACTGGACTGTACAGCACTATCATCTGGCTCTTTCTTTATGCCACAGACAGCAGCAGGAGTATCAAGTTCAGGTGTATCCATCTCGATCCCAGCAATTGCCGGTGGTACTGGTAGGTCAGGGAGGGCAGTATCATCCTTGGGCTCATCCTTCACATCAACCAGTTCCTGAAAATATACAGATTACAAAAACTGATAATTCAAGAAGTCAAAAAACTGAATAAAGGTTGAATTTCTAATAATTGAATTTAGGTTAGAACCTTTTCAAACTGAACATTTGAAATTACATTTTATAAAATTTAGAATTGAAATTTGAGATTAACAATTTAACATATTCTTTTAATCAAGTGGATAAGTTTTCAAATTTGACGGTGTGGCACAAATCATGTATATTTGAGATTTAATTTGTGAAATAGTATGTGGACATACCAGGTGACGTCTGTCACAATATTCTGCAATACATGTAGCCAGTTCAGCAAACACTGTTGCTTTCTGGTCTTCTTTCAAGAATGGAAGAGTCTTGAACCTAGGATCCATCGCAGAAGACTGATGAAGGACCTGCTGCACTTCTGGTTTGGTGTATCGCTTGTTTAACTATACCTCAATTGCATGCTTTACATCTTTGACAAGAGGAGAATCATCATCATTGGGGGTCATCTGGGTTTTGATGAGATACAGCATTGGAGCAACAATGGAAATTGTAGGCACTTTTTCATCACACAATACCTCTGTTGCTCTCTTCAGGGGTCCCAAAAGTTCAAGAAGTAGTTCCAAATTTCTGACATCACTTTCAGTGAGTGTGCTGATGTCACTCTCTTTCCTCTGGATATCTTTGGAAACTAATGTGGCATATATTGCTGGTTGAAGCTGGAGATAAGCCACGTTGAGTGGCCAGGTTCAGCGTATGTGCAAAGCAGTAGACGTATGGCCTTAGTTCTGCAACTTCAGCAGCAACACCCATATTAGCTGCATTATCAGTAACCAAAGCTGGGTCCTTGTCAGCAATGCCCCACTCTTCCACAGCATCCTTAAGCACTTTCCCAATATTCACTCCAGTATGACTTTCCTCAATGACCCTGGTCTGGAGAACATGTGACACAATCTCCCAAGCACTGGAGATATGTTGGCTTGTGTGGCACGGCTGGTCCAACCATCAGTGGTGAGTGCTACCCTTTCACTTGTTTTCAAATCAGACAAAACTGAAGATTTGGTTTCTTCATACAGTTTGGGAATGATAGTCTGAGACACAGTTTTTCTGTTTGGCAGTTTGTATCGGGGATGTAAAACGAGAACAAAATTAATAAAACCCTCATTTTCCTCAATGGAAAAAGGTTGCATACCTTTGAAATGTAATATGTCAATGCTTTGGTTATCCCATTTGATCGATCACTTCCAGGGGAATACATGCAGGAATGTTCAAACATTTGCGGTACAGTTCCACTTGCACTGACTTTCCGTTTGTTGTCAGTCACGATGTCAGTCTTTGTAACAAGATCGTATTCCAGGGGGTGGTGCCTTTTCAAGTGTGTCGACATGTTTGTCGTGTTTCCTCGATAAGTTGCTTTCACATCACAGAAGGTACATGCCACTTGAGTTTTATCTCTCGATAGTAAAAAGTGCTTCCACACCTTGCTTTTATATCCTGCACCAGGCTTCAAAAACACAGCGTCGTCAGCGACCATTTTCCTTGTGCGCATGCGAGAAGTGCCGAAATCTCGCGAGATTCAACGTCGCCTAGCAACCTGAAACATGGCGCTCCCCTGTTGTTTTCATCGGTCGCGAAATTCGCGATGATGTATGAATAAAAACAATTCAAATGTGGGCGACCTTTTAGCAAGTATATATCGTCGGTGAATCAATACACATGGATCGTATCGATATATTGTATCGTCTGATTTTAATATCACGACTATTCAAGTATCGATATATCGTCACAACTCTAACAGGTTGTGTCAAACATCATGTGAAGGTTGTGTCAAACATCAGGTGAAGGTTGTGTCAAACATCATGTGATGGTTGTGTCAAACATCATGTGAAGGTTGTGTCAAACATCATCAGTTGTGTGAAGGTTGTGTCAAACATCATGTGGCAGTTGTGTGTCAAACATCATGTGAAGGTTCTGTGTCAAACATCATGTGAAGGTTCTGTGTCAAACATCATGTGGCAGTTGTGTGTCAAACATCATGAAAGGTTCTGTGTCAAACATCATGTGAAGGTTCTGTGTCAAACATCATGTGAAGGTTCTGTCAAACATCAAACATCATGTACCAGGTTCTGTGTCAAACAAACATGTCAAACATCAGGTTCTGTGTCAAACATCATGTACAGGTTTGTGTCAAACATCATGTCAGGTTCTGTGTCAAGCATCATGTGAAGGTTCTGTGTCAAACATCATGTGAAGGTGGCCAAACATGTGTCATGTGAAGGTTGTGTCAAACATCATGTGAAGGTTCTGTGTCAAACATCATGTGAAGTGTCTGTGTCAAAACATCATGTGAAGGTTGTGTCAAACATCATGTGAAGGTTGTGTCAAACATCATGTGAAGGTTCTGTGTCAAACATCATGTATCAGGTTCTGTGTCAAACATCATGTACAGGTTCTGTGTCAAACATCATGTACAGGTTCTGTGTCAAACATGTACAGGTTCTGTGTCAAACATCATGTGAAGGTTGTGTCAAACATCATGTGACAGGTTGTGTGTCAAACATCATTTGGCAGTTCTGTGTCAAACATCATGTACAGGTGAAGGTTGTGTCAAACATCATGTACATGTGGGTTGTGGTTGTGAAGGTTCATCAAACATCATGTGACAGGTTGTGTGTCAAACATCATGTGGCAGTTGTTGTGTCAAACATCATGTACAGTTGTTCTGTGTCAAACATCATGTGAGAGTTGTGTGTCAAACATCATGTGGTGGTTAGTTGTGTCAAACATCATGAGTTGTGAAGGTGTGTCAAGCATCATGATGTGAAGGTGTGTCAAGCATCATGATGTGAAGGTGTGTCAAGCATCATGAAATGCTTCCAGTGATAATTAACGGTGAATGTGTTGAGACAGTGTCGGAGTATAAGTATCTGGGAACCTTCATTGACTCTAAGCTGAACTGGAACTCTAACACTGAAGCCCTATACAAAAAGTGTCAACAACATCTTCATCTCATGCGTAAACTGAGATCTTTTAATGTTAACCCATCTGTGATATCATCTTTATATGTACCATTTATTCAGAGTATTTTAACATTTTCCTTCCATTGTTGGTACAGTCTCTCTCAGTTCATCTCAAATCTAAAATAGACAAAATAGTTAACACTGCAAGTAAAATCACTGTAGTCAGATTTGAATGTTTATCATCAATATATGAGCGGCAAATCGTGAATCAAGCTGTCAAAATCATATCTGACCGTACTCACTACTTAAATTCGGAATACAACCTCCTCCCTTCAGGCCGCTGCTACAAAGTTCCAATTGTGAAAACTAAGAGAGCCCGTACATCCTTTATTCCAAGTACCATATCTCTCTTAAACAAATGTGAAGATACCTAAATCAAAGAATTTATGTAAATATGTTTGGTATCTCTCTAATGTGTCAGTAGCTCTGCTGATGTAACACAAATTCCTGAAAAGGCATTAAAGTATTATTCTATTCTATTCTATTCTAAGGTTCTGTGTCAAACATCATGTACAGGTTCTGTGTCAAACATCATGTACAGGTTCTGTATCAAGCATCATGTACAGGTTCTGTGTCAAACATCATGTACAGGTTCTGTGCCAAACAACATGTACCGGTTCTGTATCAAACAACATGTACAGGTTCTGTGTCAAACATCATGTACAGGTTCTGTATCAAACATCATGTACAGGTTCTGTGTCAAACATCATGTACAGGTTCTGTGTCAAACATCATGTACAGGTTCTGTGTCAAACATCATGTACAGGTTCTGTGTCAAACATCATGTACAGGTTCTGTGTCAAACATCATGTAATGGGTTCTGTGTCAAACATCATGTACAGGTTCTGTGTCAAACATCATGTACAGGTTCTGTGTCAAACATCATGTACCGGTTCTGTGTCAAACATCATGTACCGGGTTCTGTGTCAAACATCATGTACAGGTTCTGTGTCAAACATCATGTACAGGTTCTGTGTCAAACATCATGTACAGGTTCTGTGTCAAACATCATGTACAGGTTCTGTGTCAAACATCATGTACAGGTTCTGTGCCAAACATCATGTACAGGTTCTGTGTCAAACATCATGTACAGGTTCTGTGTCAAACATCATGTACAGGTTCTGTGTCAAACATCATGTACAGGTTCTGTGTCAAACATCATGTAACAGGTTCTGTGTCAAAAACATCATGTACAGGTTCTGTGTCAAACATCATGTACCAGGTTCTGTGTCAAACATCATGTACAGGTTCTGTGTCAAACATCATGTACAGGTTCTGTGTCAAACATCATGTACAGGTTCTGTGTCAAACATCATGTACAGGTTCTGTGTCAAACATCATGTACAGGTTCTGTGCCAAACATCATGTACAGGTTCTGTGTCAAACATCATGTACAGGTTCTGTGTCAAACATCATCATGTGTAAGGTTCTGTGTCAAACATCATGTACAGGTTCTGTGTCAAACATCATGTGAAGGTTCTGTGTCAAACATCATGTACAGGTTCTGTGTCAAACATCAGAGGTTCTGTGTCAAACATCATGTACAGGTTCTGTGTCAAACATCATGTACAGGTTTCTGTGTCAAACATCAGTGTACAGGTTCTGTGTCAAACATCATGTGAGGTTCTGTGTCAAACATCATGTACAGGTTCTGTGTCAAACATCATGTACAGGTTCTGTGTCAAAAACATCAAACATGTACAGGTTCTGTGTCAAACATCATGTACAGGTTCTGTGTCAAACATCATGTGAAGGTGTGTCAAACATCATGTGAAGGTGTGTCAAACATCATGATACCGGGTTCTGTGTCAAACATCATGTACAGGTTGTCAAACATCATGTGAAGGTTGTGTGTCAAACATCATGATGTTGTTGTGTGTCAAACATCACGATGTGGTTGGTGTCATCAAACATGATGTGAAGGTGTCAAACATCATGATGTGAAGGTGTGTCAAGCATCATGTGAAGGCTGTGTGTCAAACATCATGTGAAAGCTGTGTGTGTGTCAAACAGCTTGTGAAAGTTATTTCTTGTAAACAATATTTCAACTTGTCTGTCAGTTTGTGAATATTGTTAATTTGTCATTTCAATGCAGGTCCTTGCTTAATCAATCTTTGAGGAACTGATGTACACAACTATCTTAAAAACAATTATTTGGACGATTTGAGAAGTGAGTTTTGTGTGAAGTATAATTATAGATGGGTAGATCAGTCAGGACACAAGCGTCATCGTCTTGTGTGTTGTAAGGACAGATAGTGTACACTGTTCTTCAGTCCACAACTTTGGTCGTGTATAGAATCGATATCAAATCATGAACACTTCTGTAATACATCTTGTGCTGTAAGGGGGAAATCCGATTATACTACCTTCCTTTCTACTAATGTTGTTTACTGAGGGCCTATCATCTCTCTCACCACCTACTCACACATCGACAAAAAATCACAAATAATTGCAGCAATTTTGCCATTTCAACCTACAACTCCTCATAAATCAGTGGAATTTGAAAGTAAGACTCCCAATGTTCCTAAGTCCTCTTGTTCCGGGGTGTAGCAGCCTCACGTGTCAATATGACTGATCTATTATATCATAGATCATGGCTGGTCTGTGAGGTTTTACTGTGGAATCAGGCAACTGGGAGATACTACATTTAAACTTTATGTCAGACATGTTTTGTTGAAGACAAAATGCTGTTACTAAAT